ATGAAAGAACTACGTGTGGCTTGATCCCTCAGTAAGGGTACGTAGGCAGCCTGGAGTAACTAGGCGCAGCCACGGGTTTAACTCTAATTATGTGTTTTGTTGAGTGTGATGCGGACCTTGTTGTTGGCCCTGAAACTCGTTTGAAATCGAGGTATGTTTAGATTTTGTTCATACTCCCGGTTGGCTAAGGGAGGGTTGTGTAGGTGTACTATTGAATAAAGTGTGTAATAATGGGCTGAGGCCCTGGAATGAATGGTGATAATTTATAGATGATAATTGATGCATGTTAAAACCTCGTTTGTTGGATTGGGGAAAGTTAGTGGTGAGTTTTGCTTTCGGCAATTATAAGTGTGTTTGAGCTTGTTCTTGCTATGTTTCAGGAAATTTTTATCTAAAGACTTTGTTGGCAGATCTTTTTGGGAATATTTGAAGGCCGGAGGCCAATTAGTTGAATTGCATGTTATTACATTGTGCGTGCTGCCAGTTGTGGTTATTAAATGCGTTTTATGCAGGTGGAAATTTTGGGAAATGTTCAAATTACAAGGGAGATTCTGCCGAATTTTCGACAGAAAGTCTCATGCCCTTACTCCTCTTAAAGAAGGAGGTTACCTGTTTAAGGAGTGAAACCAGCATGGGTGTGATGCTGGGGTCTCCGCAGGATTCGTCTCGGGTTTTGTGAAAAATTCGGGGCGGGTCCTGTCACTCTCCTCTCTTGAAAAAACCCTAGAAATTCAACAATTCTCCATGATAGCCAATATATATCTCAGTATGGGAATCGAAGCCAGGATGCCAGTCAAGGTGGATTTCAGTATGGGAATCAAAGTCAGAATTCAAGCCAAAATATATGTTTGCAAGATAATCTAGGTGCAAGTGTCGTGGATGTGGATTTTTCATATTGTAACCATAATTGGATGGACAATTCCAATCAAAGCATTCAGCTCTTTCCTTTCAACAGCCACCAGTTGAAAATTCTCAAATTCAAAGCACCAAGCCTATATATGGGCCATCTCTCGTGAATGAGCAGTCTAATGAAATTGCTAATGTCAGTTTGGACAGTTAATTTGAAGCCTGGGTACTGGATTGGCATCCTGGCTTTGATTCCCATACTAAGAGATACATTGGCTATCATGGAGGACTGTTGAATTTCTAGAGGAGATGGTGGGGGAGCCAAGGAGGAAGACGGAAGGGACCTAAATATTAAATGGGTTTCTTTCTTTTTCTTTTTTTCTTTTTTCGGTGTGAAATTTTTTTATTTATATAACAAATTATGTAATTAAAATAGATGAGATGGCAGATGACATGGGTTGCCATGTCATGTGCCACATGTGTTGGTATCCAAAAGTTGGTAAACAAGTTGGTGCCCATAGCGTTATTGTTAAAACAATAACAAATTCACATGTGCGAGAAAGAGAGGGAAAGCAAAAGAAAGTAGAACTAGCTATGCGGCATTCTTAAAGAATTTGTTGTTTGTTTTTTGAATTTATGAGTACCGGCCATTTGATTTTGTGTTTTTTCCTTTTT